TATATTTAAATATCCTATATATATTTTTTTCATTATATATATATATAAGATTTTTTGCATTAGATATGTAATATATATATATTATATTTTATATATATGATATATTTTTTATTATATATACAATAGTTTATCTTTTATATAATACATTATATATATATTTATTTATTTTACATATATAATATATTTTATATTTTACATTTTATATATAATATATGTTTATATTATATATAATATATTTTTATATTATATATATAATATATTTTTGTATTATATATATATAACATATTTTATATTGTATATATATAATATTTTCTACTATGTATATAATATGTTTTATATCATATATATTTACTATATTGTATATTATGTGTATATATATATATTTTTTTAAAAATATATATAAGTAACATATTATATTATATATATATAATTTTTATTATCATATAAAATATATTTTATATTATATATATTTTATATTATATTTATTTTCATATGATATATAATATTTTCTATATTATATATAATGTTTATTATATATATATATATAATTTATTTGTTTTTTTGTTTTTTATATATAGTATATTTTACATTATATATAGTATCTTTTTATATGCTATATATAATATATTTTGAATTATATATATATAATTTTTAATTATATATATATAATATTTTTTTGTATTATATATAATATATTTAACCTATATATAATATATAAACTATATATTATATATATATCTTTTCGACACCTTGCATCCATGTTTTGACGGCCAAGCCTTGAGAGTCATACCTGACATTTCTAGTTTTGGCATGGGCCGATACACAAGACCCAATGACATTGATCGCACTTGCTTTAGAAGATATGTTATATATATATCATTACATATCATATCTAATATGTTCATTATCTATTTGCGACAGTTGAGCCCATCCAGTTTTAGGTTTAACCAAATTTAATCAGATCTGATATTCCAGGTATTTTAGCCATACTCAACCGTTTTTGAACCACATTTTGTTTGCACAGCTGAGCTGAGGCTGTCGCTGTTCATACAAGGCAACTGGCTGACAGCGACCTGGCGCATCTGCTGCTGCTGCTACTGCTACTACTGCTATAGTAGTACGATAATAAGCACCATGAAGAATACCCACAAGTATAGTAATGCTAATTATAGAAAAACACATGTACTAATACCATCTAATACCCACAAGCATTAGGATCGGCAGAGAGATCCATGGATCTGCCAAGGTCGTGATCGCTTGGTCTGTGGCGGTCTGCGGTGCCCTTTGCCTCTGTGTCTTTGATATGTGACCTGGTGGGGAAGTCGCCGTGGCGCCAGGGTTGTACGTCAAGCTGTCCATGTTTGATGACCAGGAGGATCATGCCCCATTTATATCCATTTATAGAATCATATAATTACTCATTTATTGTTATTTATTGGGTTACAATCCCCAAATATATCCTAATATTAAATACCTCCCTTTAAATGAATAGCTCCAGTACCAAACCAGTTCATTTATGTTGTGGGTGTTTGATATTTATTAGTGTGAGGGGATTATTGTTTTTTCTCATCCCATTGAGAATGGATTTGCTGAAGGTAATGTCATCCTGCAACTGTGGACGGGTGTGTTAGCACACTTCCTGGTGAACATGAACATATACCATCGCCTAAGCTAACATAGTTATGGAAAATTGCCCATTTATTGACAATTTACCTACTAGAAATATCTAGAAATGTTTTTTTTTCCATAGTTATGCTAAATGATGAGAGGGTTTTTGTCTGTCAACATCCAATCTTTGTTGGCTCCTATTCCCGCGAAAGCGCTGTTTCATAATATCCACTTTGTTGGCAATCTCAACATTATTTTCCACATTGTTTTCTGTCGGCAAATTGCATATATCCACATCGGAGGACGCATCCTTTTGTCAGTTACTCGCCAATGGCCGCAGGTTGCCAATGCCCTTCATTTACTCACCCCATTCAGAAAGCTTTGCAGACTCATTTCTGCACTGGAAGTGCCATGGGTTGGTGGGGAAAATGGTGTCTCCCTATCCGACATTGTGCCAGGTGGATTTCTGATGGTCACCGACCTTAGTTGGCCATCCAACCGGTCCCATCCCAAGAATTTTAAGCACAGCCTCTTTGAGGCCAATCATTGGATGATCACGGCATGCATCATTTTATGAGTCAAAACTTGTAAATATCAAGGTGATTGGGGTTCCATAAATATCAACTTGATCGCATGATATCCCATGTTTTGTTTTGTTCCGGAATGGGTTTTTAAAGGAACCCATAACATTGATTAACATTGGCTGGTAAATTGCCAAAGCCATCCAAAATATTCCAACAGAAGGTTATACCTTGGTCCCAGTTAGATGGTTGATCCATGTTGATCTCGTTCTTATATTAGTTTCATCCCGGAATTGGTTTCAGAAAAAACATGCACCTGCGGTGAGAACTCAGGACCCATGTCCCCTGGGCTGCTGGATGTTGGTCTTTGGCATGGTAGCATCGGTCTTGACCCCTCTGGCTGCTTGGTTTTGCATCTGTCTGGCATGGCTTGAAAGGTCATACATTTCCTGGAGCGCAGTGGCGAGCATTTTTTGTTTATCCTATCCACTATCAAGAAACAATGCAGATTTTCCTGGGTAGATGGTTGTTGGAGATGGACGCCCCCCAGCACTTGGATTCTGTCTAAATGAGAAAGCGATCACCACTGGTCACAACCACTTCCGAGCACTATATACAAGCAGATGACTAGGTAACTTGCTGCATGCTTTGGGCCCCAGACAGTCCCGATCATCTTGACATGGGGGAACGAGCATAGCAATAGCTGCTTCAATGGATGGTTGGTTGAGCAGTCGGTGGAACTCTAGCAATGCCAGAGTCATCTTCCGGACAAAGGGGCTGGAATGTTCTCCGAGGCTTGCGCATCTTGGTCGCGAAGTTGACGGATATTTGTTTTGTGAAGCTAGGGATGCAGATGCCAGAGCCTGTCTATGGTATGGGTGCATAAAAATGTGGGCCATTGTGGGCCCAGATGGCGGCGACAGACAATTTTCATGATGTTCATCCATTTACTGTGATTTTGTGTGTGTTACGCCTTCTGATTGTAACACGTACACTAGATCTGTTTGGTTGGTTATGGTTTCAATTGGTTTCACATATTCTCATATTCTCCTGCACCCCCAAAACGGCGGATTTGTATATACACATATAATGTCCACCTCTGATTTATAAATAGGGCCCCCCCCCTCTCTTTTCCCCTAAATAGACTTAAAGCCACCATCAAACTTGTTTGTATGTAAAGGTTTTCAATTACCACAATTTAAAACGAATACATAAAATGCAATTTCAAAAAAAAAGGAATCCAACAATTGTTTTAGTATTGATCTAGTGCTCATGTCATGGATTTAGTATTGATCTCGTATTCATGTCATGGATTTAGTATTGATTTAGTATTCATGTCATGGATCTGGGCAAATCTGGGTTTAGGGCCAAAAAAAAATAGCTTTATTCAGGGTCAAACTCTAATTGGTGCTAAGGCACCTCATGGGGGGTACCCTTGATGAGTTGATTTGGGATTGATTTTGGATTGGTTTATATAAAGGATTTGAATAGAAAGAGCATCCAATATTTTTGAAAATTTGAAGCTACCAAGATAAGATCTAATGAGCTGGCAGTATGAAATAGTACATGAAAGCCACCTCAAAAAAAGCATGGAAAAAAATCAGCCCCATCTGGGCAAATCTGGGTTTAGGGCAAAAAAAGTTTAGCTTTATTTAGGGGTCATTTATTATTTGTTTTGGGAGTTTGGTTAGCTTTATTCAGGGGGCATTGATAAATCGTAGGTCAACATTATATATGTATCCTCAATTGGATGAACATGACCCAATTTCCCTTTCATGTTTCTTCACGCCCGGGTTTCGTAGCTTGATATGGCTCCAATCTATGCTTAGGAGAAGCATCAAACACCAAGCCTATGGCTCGACAGTTAGAGATAACCCCCTTTCTATACACATATCATATATATATATATTAATACTGTTGACATCGGATTAATAACCGCCCCTCAAACATTAAGAGCATCAGAATAAAGTTAGGGCCAAACATTCAACTATCGTTAATATTAAAAAAATCAGACCTATGTATTCCCAAATGAATTGCCTAATTGAAAACGAATACATAATGTTGACATTAAAGGGAACCTTCTTTCCAGACCTATGTATTCCCAAATGAATTGCCTAATTGAAAACAAATACATAAGGGAACTTTCCACCCCCCAAAAAAATCACCTATGTATTCCCAAATGAATTGCCTAATTGAAAACGAACACATAAGGGAACTTCCCCCCCCCAAAAAAAATCACCTATGTATTCCCAAATGAATTGCCTAATTGAGAACGAATACATAAGGGAACTTCCCCCCCCAAAAAAATCACCTATGTATTCCCAAATGAATTGCCTAATTGAAAACGAATACTAAAGGGAAAAAATTGAAAAAACGGGAAAAAAAGTTGGCGTACTTTATTACGGGGGGGGTTTATTAATCTTTTCCGGGAGTTGGCGTACTTTATTTTGGGTGGGTTTATTAATCCCATGTTGACATTATATATATATATAGTTTTTATTCCAAACCACCAGCCCAAGCCGTTGATTCGAGGCATACTTACCAGACTGCCTGCACTTTTCTCCTCTGTGCTTTGTGGACGTTGCCTGTATCCACCAGGCGACTGGGAAAGCTGGGGTTGGACTCTGTCGAGGCGGTCTCAAACTGAAGTAGGAACGTTGATTTCACACTTTCTTCTCCACAGCTAAAGGAGTGTTTGCCTTTACCATTCGGAGGTTTTATGAACCTTGAACAAGTTAGACTTCCTCTCTCCCCCTCTCGATATATATATATATATAAGTGTGTGTTTTTTTGGTCTACCACGTTCATTGAGCACCCACAAGCCTCCTACTCAATGATGTCGACGTTTTCCTGCAGGCAGATGCCGGTCTCATGGAGCGGGGGATCTATGGCATTGGTGGAATTTTGTCTGTCTCGAAGGAATTGCGAGTGCTGTGGAGTGAACCTTACCTTTCCAGCCCTTTGGATGTGATGTCAGGATTCTGTGCCATGGGAAGGAGGTATTGCAGTGACCAATAAGATGGGAAATGGGATGGGATATCTCTCTCTCTCTCTATATATATATACATAATTATATATTGTTATCATATAATGATATAGAATGTATAATATCCATCGATCCATCAACAGGTGTTCTGTATCTAAAACCGTGCATTTGGATCAGCATCCCAGTGGGGTTGCTGATCCCAAGATAGTTCATTGTTGAGAAGACGTTGAACCGCCCAAGCCAGAAAAATACACCCAAAACTGCCGGACTTCCGAGGACTTTGGTGCGTCTTTGAGCTGGCAGCATTTCGGAAAGCCAATCCCGGTGGACACTTGGACCAACTCACGGCCTGCTGGACCTCTTTGTTGTTGTTGTTGTTGTCCTTTTCCACGAATTGGTCACGTCGGTCATACTACATATTAATTTGGACGGATTCACTGGCCCGCTGCACCTGGTCGCTCTTCTGGTTTCGCACAAAAATCAGCCTGAGATGGGTAGGTCTCTTTCTGTGCAATCTGTGGTGTTGATGTTGATTCGCCTCCGTCACATGTACCTATCCAGATTGCCAGTGGGCTAGGGAGTGGCACTTTATCCTGATTGGGGGATATGTTTCACTCTTGACGTCAGATAGCAGTGAAGCCGTTGATTGGGCATTAATTGCTTAACCATTCCATCAACCCCCGTCGTGACCAGCGGGACACTGAGGGAAGATTACCTTAGCGCCACTTTTTGTGGAAGGTGCAGTTGCATGTGTCTTGTCTCGCAGGCATTGCAGGGCCAAATGATCCACTACTGTAGTTTTGACTTGGAGGGGCAGTATAGGCTTTGCTTTGCAGAATTAACGTACAAACACATACAAACACCATGTACACGCACATGCGCACAGATATATAGATATAAAAAATAAATACATGAATAGATAAATAAAGAAATAAATGTATATATAGATGTAGATTTATTTAAATACAATTATTTATTATATACATATATTCTTGCATATGCAATATATATATATGCATATTATACTGTATGTGTATATGCCCTTTGGATAGATTTGGTTTCTTTGGTTCATCTGGTTGGCCATTGTTGGCTGGCAGATATGTTCCGAGTTCCGTGGACTAGAAGTTTGCTGAGGCATTTGGATTCTCTTCACCGTCACCAGCTTCATCTATTTATTTCTAGTCGCCTTGCGGTGCCACATTATCTGCCAATCATCGCCAAGCTCATCGCACAGCTCATCGCACAGCTTATCGCACAGCATATCGCAGGCCTGAGGGCCGTGTGCAAGAAACCGGTTGACCACCTGAAGTGTTTGTAAGACGTTGGAAATTCTTTATCATGTTCTTCTTCATATAATACAAAGGTCATTTTATCTCGTGCTGTTTATGTGCAAACATGGTCATAAATGGGCTGAGGCATGCGGAGGCTGTTGACAGTTTTCTTGTGACCTTGCAGAGCTGGACCTGAGTGTCACGCTCAATGCCATGCTTCAGGGGCATTATTTCCAAATCAACCACTATAACCCCCTTACGTGCATAGCTCCAACCCATTTCGTACATGTTACCCCTGAATTATATGTTTTCCCCACCTGTCAGGTGAGGGTTGTTAGATTTTATGTCAGCCAGCCCGCCTTCCTCCTTCCTCCTTCCTCCTTCCTCCTTCCTCCTTCCTCCTTCCTCCTTCCTCCTTCCTCCCCCTTCCTCCGCCGGAACTGGAAAGTGTAGATCGCAGTGTTCCACGCCGGACCCGAACAGCAACCTCTGGATCAGAGTGATCCCCGCCACCACAAAGAATCTCTGCCGGACCTCAACCACAAAGAATCTCCGAAGATATACCAGATAGAATGCCAGAAAATAATGTCAAAATAGATGCCAGATAGAATGTCAGACTAGAATGCCAGATAGAATGCCAGATAGCATGTCAGAACGTATGCCAGAACATATGGCAGAAAAAATGCCAGATAGAATGCCAGAGAAAAATGTCAGTATAGATGCGACAAAGAATGCCAGATAGGATGTCAGAATAGATGCCCGATAGAATGCCAGAATAGAATGTCAGATAGAATGCCGGATAGAATGCCAGAATAGAATGTCAGATGATGATAACACACACACATATATATATATATATATTTCCAGATGATATGTCGGAAACTATGGCAAATAAGTGTCAGGGTGGGGATCACTCGAAGTAAAGTATTTTTTTTGGTGAGGGGCCATGTAATGTCAACTCCAGATTACATAGCCTCTGCTGATGAATTAGGGGATTAGCACCAAAGTGATAGATTACCATCAAAGTTGGTATCCTGCCTATTAGTCACGAAACCTAGGTACCAGCTAGCTTCTGCTAGCTGAAATCCCTCGTGCCGTCGCAAGGTATTGGCAGGGGCTGGAATCACCAACCACGTGTAATTTTAGTCTGCCCACCTTTTTTTTGGATCAGCATTAGCAGACTTCCTCTCCGCTTCCTATCTCCCAATTCCTCACATACCGCTCCTTCACCACACCTTCCTCCTTCCCCATTTACCTTCCCAGCTAGCTTTGTCCCTTCGCCGTTGGCCTCAAGTAAAACTTACTAATCTGTTTTTTCGGAAGGGAATCCTGGAATCCTGGGTTAACATTACTGTTACATCCCCATTTGTATCCGGGATCAGGGCTTAACTTTCGACGACCTGACGGAATCGCTCCTGCCGGCTTTGCCTGCAACAGGGCGAGAATGGTGGTTTAATCAACCCAGTCTATGTCTGATGGTTAATTAATGAACACCGTCTGTAGCCAGAACATGGGGGGTGAAGGTCCCGGTGGAGGTAATCACAATATATGGGGGTGTCCGAGAAAGGGGCTAGGCACCCAATGGCTACTTTCAAATCGGGAAATTGCTTTTCAGACCCTCGGATGTCAACCCCAGATGTTCTTGCCATAATCAGCTAGTGCATCCAGTGGTTGTCTGGTGGTTTGGGTTGATGGGTTGAAATGGGGTTTCCCTCTGAAAAGAATCCCTTTCGGAGGGGCATTTTGGATTCCAAAACGCAGAATTCGCCACGGAACTAGTAACCAATGTAACGACTGGTGAAACACATCGCAATAAATCCATCCCTTCATGACCTTTCTTCACATTTTCGGGGTGAAAGAACTGGGGTTGAAACTGTTGGGGTTGAATAACGGGTGTTACATGGGATAAATATGGATACCCTCTGGTAATTTAACATAGCTATGGAAAATCACAATTTTTAATGGGAAAATACAGGTCATTTTCCACCGCAGAAACCTCCACAAAAAACACGCGTCCTGCTGAATTTTGGACCGTTGCCAATGACCTGAGGTCTTGGTTGCGGCGCATTTTCTGCGTGGGCATTATGTGGCGAAGCACAAACTGTCGTCGGACCTTGAACACTTTGATCTGGGCGTCGAGACTGCAAATTTATATATGTTTTCCATAGTGTTTTCCATTGATTTAACCATGATTTTCCCCGCAAACTGGCGGTATTACATCAAAAGTGGGGGTATGAGGTCAAAACTGTTGATTTTCATGGATTTTCCCGATATTTTTTTGGGGGATGATAGGGGATGAACTTTCAGCTCTGCCAGCCAGTCAAAGGTTTGCACGAGTTGAGGTGTGTGGCAAAGTGAATCTGACATACCACTAGTCAAAAGCTTAGAAAAACAGTGCCAGGTTCTGTTCAATGCTCCAGCGATTTCGATCGAAACTTGGCTCAAGAGTTCACCATTTGGAAAGTCTTTGTAACTGCACTGTAGCAGCTATGAACCGGTTCTGCTCGGAGACTTTGCAAGGGATGGCAATGACTCCCCAGTTTCAGAGTTCCGCAGCCAGTAAAATGGTCGCATCATCGCATCAGCAATTTCCAAGGCAAGTTCATCTATGAAGCCATCTCCACTTGGTATGGCAGTGTTGCCAACTTCACCGACTTCGTTCAAGACGATCTGCGGGAAGAACTTGTCACACCCATTTTGTCGAGCAGCAGCTTGATTTGGAGACACGATCAGGAGAATCTCTATTGATGTTGAAAAGTCAGGGCCCCAAAGTAAACTACTCGCCCAAGACCATTTGGGCGGATGGAAGGTTTTCATGGGTCAAAGTTGGTTGCCAACTTGAGAAGACTTCCAGATGGATTTACATCCAGAGTCTAACCTGCGATGGAAACCTCAATCATCCTTAGTTTTTCCACGAAGAAATGCCAGCAACTGGGATTTTAAATTTTACAGATGATTCTTAGATCTTGGAACCGAACACAATGTCCTGTTGGAGGTATGCCTTTGGCGTACTATTTGGTCCTCGTCACTCCAAGCCTCAGCGTGTATCTGGAGATTTTCCTTGCCCTCTGGAAAGGAGGTGCCATGGCATCATGGCCTTTGGCTACGGCCCCAAAGCAGTGCTGCAGCAGTGTCTGATGATGATATTTCTATCACATGATGAAATATGACATGTGCAGGAATATATCCCGGAGATGTCGAGAGAGAGAGAGAGAGAGAGTACGAAGGGAAAGGTACATATTGCGTTTTTTTTCCCCTAACATGCCATAGTATGCCATAGTTCCTTGTGATGGGTGAATATTGTTTGTAGGCATTCCAAAGTCAAACCGCAGAAATGTGTTCAAATGTGCTGAATCCGAACCAAGGCAAGCTGTTGAATTCTGCAACGAAACACCCGTATACACTGCCAGCAAAAGTGCGGTCAGGTGGAACAACGTACCTGGAAGGAACGATTTCTAGCAGACATCTCAGGTACTCAAAATAGAGATACTGGAGCTACCGTACAAGCCCTACCTTGGGGTGATATTCTCTTACATACCTTACATCTAGATCGGTAGCTCCAGGTTTGATGTTTGACATGTATACTGTATACCCATAAATCCCCTCTTGGGGTCCCCAAATTCTGGGGGTTATATAATCCTACGATGGCTATATATTCCATTTCAGGATGGTTAAACAATGGTAAGTCCCAATTTCTGATGTTGAACCCACCCAGCACGCAGCCCATTTGGTTTGATATTCTTTGAGATTGGTGCCACCAACAAGGTATGCTTCACTATGTCAACGAATTTTCACCAAGGTTTTCGTGCATCTTTTCAGGGAACATGTCCTCAGGTGCCCCGTCTGACGTGATGATTTCGCACGTGCTGGCATTTCTGTTGGGCTATTGCTTCCCGACTGATCTGGGCAAATTTCAGCGGATGAATTATTATTATGATGGACTACATTGGTTTAAAAAAAAGTTCTGAAAACATTGAAGTGGCTTTACCATGGTCGTTTTATCCCATTTCAATAAACATATCTGAGACTTTAAGCAAGTCAACATTCGCATTGAAACATGATATTGGATCTGCCCATCTTAGAGAGGCATAGTTTTTGTTGGCTATATTATATTCATCCCCATTTCAGGATGGTTAAACCATGTCAACCAATTACGAACCACGTTTTTGATGGTTGAGCCTCAATTTTTGATGGTCAATTACACTTCATTTTTCATGCGGGTTTCTCATAATTCCCCAGATAAAAACATTGATTTTTGATTGGGTAAAAGGTTAAACCTTTATTAAACTCCAATTCTGGAGCCATCTGAGGCCTCTGCTGGTGTCCCGCCTACCTCGCCCTGTTCATCTTCCTTTGCGACCGCCTCTCGGTCGACAGGAGCTTCGTGTTGAATTTTTTCCAGTCTTTAAACCCATCCGGAAAAGAAAAGGTTCAAATGATCACCATTTTAGTGGGATTTTACTTGTCTATCTTTATGAATTCTTTTTGGGGATTACTATAGTTGCTACAATTTGATAGGCGTAGATCCACGGACAGATAGCTGGATGGATGATAGATAGGACCACCCCAGCCAGCTACAAGTGCAGTGAATTCCAGTTGGAAACACAAAACAGCAGGATGTAGATGAAACCCTGACCAGGTTGATGAGAAGATGTGTGCATTCCCATTTTTGATCATTAGCCAGTAGGTCAGTAGGCCAACCAAATGACAACGTGTTTTTTCAATCGCATGTGTGGAATTAAGGGGTTTCTGATGGGAGTGGTATGGGAAGGGACTGTGGGAATGCGGTTCATTGATTCACTGGGGGAATTCCACCTCTCTTAGCCTTAAGGATTTGCCACTCAGCGCTCATCGAAGTGCATGCGCCTTGCCGGCATGCGATGGGAGGAGAGAAAATTATAGTCACAAACAAATCGCATGCGACTTTTGATGGTTTTTGTATGTTTTTGATGCTTGTCGCCATCAGTCAAATTCAGCGAATACTTGCCAAAAAGAGGAATACAGTAGCCAGTAATATCCCAGTAATCAATGTATGGTATTGGTGACCCTTCACAGCCAGCGTTTTTTAAAGATAGGGATCCGTGACCTTTTTGTTTCCAAACTTGGCTTGGAAACTGGGGCGCATCGTTGCTACAACAGTTGGAAACAATGTTTTACAGACCATAGGCATCATTGGCATTGGCAATATATGGCAATATATAATTATATATATAGTTATAATTATTTATATTATATATATATAGTTGGATGAAGCACCAAAGCTGAATGTCACAATGCCAGCTGTTTTTTTTGTATTGGAAACCCTTCAGAAAGTTTAAAATACAATGGGCAGGTCACCCTTGAGTTTTCATCCAATATGATGTTCTCTGGTGATGCTGGATGTACCCTCTGGTAAACTAACATAACTATGGAAAATCACCATTTTTAATGGGACAATCCACTATAAATCACCATTTTCAATAGCTATGTTAAATTACCAGAGGGTAGCTGGTGAATGGACTGCCTCAGCCGTGCCATTTTTTCCCTCCCTTCTGAGGGACCGTTTGCAATCCTTTGCGATTGGCATGATTGTGTTGAAGCTTGGACTTGCCAGATCCGGTCATGATTCGCCATGGGATTTTGGTCGGGACTTTCCACCCCGAGAAACGAAGCAGTTGGGGCCCCATGCGCGCCTAGAGGGTTGCGGATTTTTCAGGTTTCTATAGTATTAGGTTTCTCACGTTTTATCACGTTTCTGATCCGATGTGAACCTTGCTGGCCAGGATTCTATCTGATGCAGGCAACATTGCAGCTAGATATTGTGGCTGGGCTGCAGTTGTGTTCCAGCACTCCAGCCTGGTGATGGCCAGTTCTACATCCTATGTTAGCTGGCAGTGACGGTCGGCTTCAAATATATATATATTGATTGGGTGGAGCCATCCCTTCCAATGTAGGTACATCACTCAAACTGGAGGACAGAAAGACCAACCTCTTCAGGAACTCCACAGGAATAATCCATGGCACAGCCCATGGATTTGTCCATTTCTGTCAGCACCCAGGCTTTGAGCAAGGGCTATATCACTCCCTGATCTGGGCGGTGTTTGCTCTCGTTGCTGTGGCACTGGCAGGTTGCAAAGCAAGGCGGTGCTGAACACAACGAAATTTGGTTCTCAGATGTTCCTAGGACGATGGCGATGTGCTGGTTTTCACGGAGGAAGAGATCTTTCCGTGCAGAGATTTGCAGAGATTTCAGGTCGGAGATGGGTCCAACTTTTGATAAACCCAAAATACATCAAATTGACCTTGCCCAATGCGGAAAAAAGTGGGACGCAGAAAGACCTGAGATGGCAACAGCCAAAGATAGACCGTTGCTTTCGCCGCTGATTGGAGCTGAGGGGGCCTTGCACAGGACCATATGGGTGGAAAGGTGTTGGCCGGACACATCATAGGTTGGTTGGTGGTTTCAACCAAGCTGGCTTCGGAGTTTCCATAAATGCCAGCTGATTCACCTGGCACTATTGGCAGCTGAAACGCCAGCAGTGGCACTTGAGACACCAGGGATTTCAGAGCCATTCTCAGCTGCCATAGTTTTTTCTCCCCGGACTTCGCCGACGGTGCGGGAGGCTTCCCAGATTTGATAGAGAACCTGACAATCAACATGGGAACCCTGAAGATAGGCTTTGGAAGATGTTGGAAGATTCTTTTGCCCCTGGAAAGTGTACGTCATTCTTGGGTTCTGCCTCCATCATTGAAGATAGATAGGACGCATGGGACCCCCAAATCCCAAAGACCAAAAAAAAGTTAAGCGTTCGGTTCAAACAACGCGGGCTTAACCTGCAACTGGGGTACCCGGTTGCACCACCTGAACATTCATAGATCCTTCCTGACATTCTGTGGGAAACATTTTGAGCCTGGCCCATCCCCATTCATACATACATGCTAAATGACCTGTATAACCATATCCTATCATCATTCCATTACCATACCGGTCCCGTTCCCATTGCCATTCCCGTGACCATATATCAGTACATTATATTTCCACGGCCATATTCGATACCACCAACCGTACCATTACTACAATATTAATGTACCACATCATTACCATGCCATTTCCATACTAGTACCATATCATACAGTACCATTACTGAATCATTACGTAACATGACATAACAATACCATATCATTGCCATTACCATGCAATTACCATTACCTCACCAACCACTCCGGTGCCATTACCATACCACTACACCATTCGATTACCGTTTACATGACCATTACCACCCGCATACCTTTACCATTAGCACTATATTCTCATACCATTGCCATTAGCATTACCATCGCTAATTTTTAGTACATTACCACGCTGTACCATATACCAGTAGTACCGCACAAGGCGGTGGCGGAAGTTTCAAAAGTCGGAAACCTATAGGAGAGGTTGGTTGTTGTGAATCACGGATGGCAGAGCGAATCCACTGATGGACGGAAAGGTGGTTGGAGTTGTGTTTTCTGGAGTGGCTGCAATGGTTACAGTGGTCACCTCACCACAACTGTTGGATGTAGTGTGGTGTAGTGCAGTTGTAGTTGCAGTTGTAGTGTAGTGTAGTGGAGTTTTAGTTGTAAGTTGTAGTTCTAATGTGATGTAATTAGTGTAGTGTAGTTGCAGTTGAAGTTGCAGATGTAGTTGCGGTGTGGTGTAATTAGTGTAGTATCTTGTAGTGTATTGTAGTGTACTGTAGCGTTCTGTACTGTAGTGTGGTATAGTGTAGTCTAGTCTAGTGTAGTGTGAAGTAGTGTAGTTGTAGTTGTAGTGTATTGTAATTAGTGCAGTGTAGCGTAGTGCAATGTAGTGGCAGTTGCAATTGTAGTTGCAGTTGCAGTTGTAGATGTAGCGTAGTGTAATGTAATTAGTGTAGTGTTGTGTAGTGCTGGGTGATACCTGCAAGAGCAGGTTCCAACCTGGGGCGACCAGGTAGCTGACCAATGGTGAAACTGGTCTGGGGCTATGTACGTGTCACACAGTGACGACCCAAAGCAAACCTGAGGATTGCAGGTGAAACTGACTTATACACTGGCAGAGCTGGGTAAAAGGAATGCGAGTGTCCGTGCGGTACGGAGTTCATATGTCACTTTGAGATGCACCCATGCATTGAGTTTGGCAAGCTTGGGTGTGCATGTATCATCTTTAAGTGAGCCAATGAATGCTATCATTTTGGCTCAAGTGGATTTGAATCAAAATAGCATTCATTGTTTTTCTTTCCCCACCCACCCAACCCTAAGAGCCGACCTCCCGTGGAGATGTCCGCCTAGGTACTGTAAGGATGCCTGCAGGCGAGTACATAGCCTCTTTTTGGGGACACCCTCTTGGGGTGACCAAGAGAGGGCTAGCCCCCCTTAGGTTAAGGGATGGGTGATACCTGCAAGAGCAGGTTCCAACCTGGGGCAACCAGGTAGCTGACCAGTGGTGAAACTGGTCTGGGGCTATGTACGTGTCACACAGTGACGACCCAAAGCAAACCTGAGGATTGCAGGTGAAACCGACTTACACACTGGCAGAGCTGGGTAAAAGGAATGCGAGTGTCCGTGCGGTACGGAGTTCATATGTCACTTTGAGATGTATGTATGTATATATATATAT